AATATATAAATAACATAATGACTTCAGTTTGGTGTGGATCCAAAAATGTAGGAGTTATTGCAGACAGTGTTTAATTTGACAAATATAAAGGTCTATCAAATTGCCATAACTTCAAGGAACTTAATAAAATAACAAGAGGGCCATGATGGTCCTGAGGTCGCTCACCTGTATATAGGCCCCCGGAGCGGGGCCAGTTTAAACCCCAGGGCTTTTATTTGAGCAAACTTGGAAGACACCCATTAGAAGATGTTTCATGATGTTAAGTTTTTACTACACACATAAAATGAAAAACAATGACCTCCGCCCCCCCCCCCCCTTTGGCAAGGCCAATTTAAACCCAAGGGCTTTTATTTGGACAAACTTGGTAGACACCAACAAAAAGATGTTTCCTGCTTAAAATCTAACCTCTAGCTCATTGGGTTTTTTAAAAGAAGATTTTTTAAGTTTTTACTATACAAAAAAAAAAAAATGACATATACACAATGTAGTTAAAAACGATGACACCTCTGGGCGGGGCCAGTTTTAACCCCAGGGCTTTTATTTGAACAAACTTTGTAGACACTCACTAGCAGATGTTTCATTCTTAATATCTAAACTCTAGCTATTTGGGTTTTTTCAAAGAAGATTTTTAAGTTTTTGCCATACAGACATATAAGGAAAATCAATGACCCCCGGGGCGGGGCCAATTTTGACCCCAGGGCTTTTATTTGAACAAACTTTGTAGACACCCATTAGAACATGTTTCATGCTAAATATCTTAGCTCTAGCTCATTGGGTTCTTTAAAAGAAGATTTTTTAAGTTTTTACTATATGCATATAGGGAAAATCAATGACCCCCTGGGACGGGGCCAATTTTGACCCCAGGGCTTTTATTTGAACAAACTTGGTAGACACTCACTAGAAGATGTTTCATGCTTAATATCTAAACTCTAGCTATTTGGGTTTTTTTTCAAAGAAGATTTTTTAAGTTTTTGCTATAGTATACACATATAAGGAAAATCAATGACCCCCGGGGCGGGCCAATTTTGACCCCAGGGCTTTAATTTGAACAAATTTTGTAGACACCCATTAGAACATGTTTCATGCTAAATATCTTAGCTCTAGCTCTTTGGGTTCTTTAAAAGAAGATTTTTTAAATTTTTACTATATGCATATAGGGAAAATCAATGACCCCCTGGGGCGGGACCAATTTTGACCCCAGGGCTTTTATTTGAACAAACTTGGTAGACACTCACTAGAAGATGTTTCATGCTTAATATCTAAACTCTAGCTATATGGGTTTTTTAAAAGAAGATTTTTTAAGTTTTTACTATATGCATATAGGGAAAATCAATGACCCCCTGGGGTGGGGCCAATTTTGACCCCAGGGCTTTTATTTGAACAAACTTGGTAGACACTCACTAGAAGATGTTTCATGCCAAATATCTAAGCTCTAGCTCTTTGGGTTTTTTAAAAGAAGATAATTAAAGTTTTTTCTTTTGGTTGCCATGGCAACCATGGTTGCCATGGCAACCAGAGTTCTGCATGGAATCAAATTCTTTGAACAATTTTTAAAGGTAACCACCAAAGGAACATTCCTGTGAAGTTTGGATGAAATTGGCTTAGTGGTTTATGAGGAGATGTCATTTAAAGTAAAAGTTTACGGACGGACGACAGACGGACAACGGACGGCCGGACGCCGGACGAAAAGCGATCACAAAAGCTCACCCTGTCACTTTGTGACAGGTGAGCTAATAAAATTCGTTCAAGATCTTATTGGTATGTTCACCAACTAAGACTCAGCAGCTAAAAGAAAAGAGGGGGTTGGAAGACCTTCAAACTGCCATCATAACAATAATTATTTATTTTTAGAGCAATAAGATGCTTTGTGGTTCGATTTCTGGGTCATGGTTAAGATTGGAATATCACCTGGCTGGCCCTATTACAAATGTATAGCTATTACAAATGTATAGCTACTGGTCTGATAATACTTGTGCCACTTGTGGATGGTATCTAGCATTAACTGTTGCCATCAATTAACCAAATTTTTTTTTTTTGGCCATGTTGGACAACCTTATTCAAGGCTTTTCAAATTTCACAATTTATTAATTGCTGCAAACAGGGCAAGTAAGCGAAAAAAGTTCAAAGAGCTGCACGCCATCAAAGAAGTCATTATAACACAAAGCTAAAAATATGCTTCTACGCTTCATGAAAATTAGGGCAAAATAATCACATACTTGTTTCTCATTTCCTTTCCAAATCTACTTCTATAAATTCTGAAGAATTTCTCCTTTATAATGGAAATCTCCTGCATAACTGATAGTTCCCAATGTTTATAATATTAACCTCCCTTGCCAAAATTGGCCCCCTTTTGGGGGGGGGGGGTCAATATTATATATTATATAATTGACAAAGTATGAAAAGTTCAATATACAAACAGCTGATGTATGGTTGGTGAAATGTCAAATTCTTTTAAACATACAAGGGAAAATATATTATTTTAGCACCAATCTATAAAACATTTTTATCAGTTTTCATAAAGATGATAGCATTATGAGAGTTTTTACCTTAAGCATAATATATATTGGAAATGACCCTCAAAATGGTGGCCAGGGGAGGTAATAATTGCTATGTGAAAAGCATCCATATTTTCTATAGGTATAGATATTTACAGAAATTTATAGTTTGTAGTATATATTATATTAACCCTTTTGCTGCCAGAGGGTTATTAATTTATTGATCACCTATTTGCCAGAGGGTTTTCTAAGAAAAAACTATATTATAATATTAATATAATTATTATTATTTGTTATTAGTATTATAATAATTATATATATTAATTATATATATTTCCAAATCTGCTAGTAAAATAATAATTATTGTCGATGGTATAATTATCTATATATTCATTATTATTATTATTATTATTATTATAAAAAAGGCAAAAGCCGTCCATATGGCAAATACGCTGAAAATAATAGGGACGGCATATGCCGTCCTTTAATGGCAGTGAAAGGGTTAAAATCTGTTTGTTGCACATAAATTTGCTTTAAAAAAATCACAGGAAAGGAACATAAACCCTTGATGGGCCTAAAGCTTAATTATTTTTTCTCAAATGCAAAATGACTGATGACTCAAGCTGGATCATCCAAATGTTAAAGCAATTAAGAGAACAGATGCCCTTGAAGAGAGAAAATACTTGAGTCTACCATCTCGGCAATGTTTCCCACAGACAGTTTCTGAACTTCTACAGTGAGATAATGCCCTTCCTGAAACATTACTAAATTAACTATGAATGTAAGATTATCTGATCTGTAATTAACTTAAATTAACTCCAGGGTGGTTTTATAATGACCAGAGGCCTAGATTTTGTAGAATTAACTTTATTTTACAAGATGCCAATATTTAGTCTAATAAACAGCGCAAATTAACAAACTAACTGATAAATAATGTATGGACTTTTTTTAATTCCCAAGTTTCACCACAATTACAGAAAATTGTCAAATATGCACTTTGGAAGTCTGCAATCAATTTCTCAATAATTTCAAGAATTTTAAGGGGGGAAATTGAGTAAAATTTTAACCCCTATACAAAAGAACAAAGCGGTTAAATAGTGTAATTTCCTATTGAAGACAAAGGTGAAGGCTTATCAGTAATATTGATTCACAAAGGTAAAGTTCAATATAGATATGCTACAGAAATATCACCCACTGGCAAACAAAGGGATGAGAAATAATCTCTAATCTGGAAATAATCTCTAATCTGAAAATAATCTCTAATCTATAAATAATCTCTGATCCCATGTGATACTATCCGTCTAGCAGTCCAGTTAGCTCAATAGGTAAAGTGTTGGACTGTGAATCGGGCCGCCCAGGTTTGATACCAAGACGGTGCAGGTCACTCTCAATGTGTTTGATCATAAAATCCTTTCTACAGTCATTCGCACTGTGCCTTTGGACAGAAGTCAATTTGAGGGTTAAGAGTGAAACTGGTCTATCTGCTTCTATTTTATATATAGATGGACCAGTTTTGCTCTGAGCCCTTGTTATCAGTTCCTTGCGAAACATTAATTCTGTGTAACTATATTTCTATTGCGTTACTAACGCAGTAAGGGCAATTTTTGCATATTTTGACCTCTTTTTGTGGTTGTAAGTGCCATTAATAATGTGTAAATTGCTTCATTTTGGTTGATATACAATATTATGCTTTTTATTACATTTTCAAATTTTTCATGAAAATAAGATTCAATCTGGAGGCATGCTGCTTTAACAGAAATATTTTATTATACTCTGGCTTTATTCCATTGGTTTCGGTCCACCACAAAACATGCTGGGTTATGGGATTTAACTTGCAATTTATAAAGTAATAAACATTATCATGAAAATGCTAATAAAACTACTTTTCTTTTTGTTTCATTGCCATAAGGCTAAACTCTTGTGGCACTTGTCAGCATTTTATGACCATGCTCTCAATTAAATATTTGGTCAAAATCTAAAAAGTTAGTCATAATTTAAAAAAAAAAAAAAGAAGAAGTTTTGCTCAAACTTTCATAAAATTTCCAAATTTTAGCGCCATGGCCAGTAGTTTTATAAAATCAAAATTTCATATCATTTTCATAAAGCACACAATGATTTTTTAAGACCTGAATGACTATATAGAACCTTATCATGGCAAATGACCTAATCATAATAAAGAACCAAATCATCTTAAAGAAACCCAATCTTTATAAAGAACCCAATCTTCATAAAGAATCCAATCATCATAAAGGATCCAATCATCATAAAGAACCCAATCTTCATAAAGAATCCAATGATCATAAAGAGCCAAATTATCATAAAGAACCCAATCATCATAAAGAACCCAATCTTCATATAAAGAACCCAATCTTCATAAAGGGCACAATCATCACAAAACTTATCTCTCTTCATTAATATTACATAATTATATTACAGCATGGAACTCTCATGTTCATGCATATCTCAAAATTATGAAAAATTAACAAAAATTATATAACAACTTACCTTTATAAATTTTTTCACAAATTTTTGAAATTTTTTAATCACTGTCCTCATAAAGGTAAAAACACACACACACAATTAATAATAAATTCTTTCAATAACCTATGTCATTCAAAAGCTGAACACACAAGAAAAAAAATCACACTGCAAAAAGTTTTCAGAGCCAAATACCCTACACACACATTCACTTATCTTATTACCAAAATGTCATAAACATATGCAGCAGATGAGAGGCTAATTCAATGAGTTTTCCTGCACCTAGGATGCCATTTTGGATTCCAGAAAGCTGAGTAAATTCCAGGATAATTGGCACACTCTCAACAAATTACGTCTTGGTGCAGCTTAAACTCTTTAAATTACCTCCCCTCCCCAAACCTCCTACTTGATTATAAGTTACCTCCCTTTCTCTCAAAAAAAAAAGCTTCCCATTTGCAATTTAAGATTTTTTTTTTACTGATGATAAAAATTATTGTTATTTGGTACTGTTGAAGAGAACAGTTAATCACAAACATAAATGAACATAAAATTTGTATCAATAATTATCATAGCTTACCTGTAATCTAACTGAGCAAAAAATGAAAAAGAAATTAAATAAATTTAAAACACTGGATGGACCATATTGACATAAACATTTGTAATAAGAAATCAGGAATATTTTTGAGACAGAACACAGCTGGTTGAACCATATTTTAAGGTTAGGTTTTACATTGCACCAACTTGCAGAGGTGATATGGTGACTTTCCAATTTTACTTATGGAGGAAGACATTGGGTGCCTCTCCAAACATTATTTCACACATAAGCGGGACCCAAGAAGAACGACCCTTGTTCAATAAGACAGCTTACTCTCATGAAAGTATCCTTGCCAGGATTCAAACCTATAGCAGTGAGGGACAAGTTGTTTGTAGACAATGACCTAAACCCCTCAGCCACAGATGCCCCTACCATAATATACAAGCGGTTAAATATGTCCTATATTGTACAGAAGAAGTACTATTAAATTCAATTTATAATTAGGAAAACAGGGTCATTCTGAAAATAAATGTCAGTCAGGGCTTAAAGGACGTCTAAATAAAATCTACTTTTTTGGGGGTCTTAGTAAAGTTTCCAAAAACATACACACTGGCCATATTTCTGAATCATTATTTGCCTCTTTTTGTGCTTTGGCCAATAGTGAAGATATGGTGAGGCCATACAACTGAACCATCTTTTTCTTCTTTTGGCATTCATTATTTTGGCAATTAGTTAAGTCATTAAATCATAGTGATTTGGTAATTTTTATGGAAGTCAAAATTCCTATTTAGAGCTTGTTTATATTTTGTACCTTTGTCGAAAATTATTTCAGCTTTCATCCAGATTGCATTTCTGGGGCATAACAGGCACTTTAAAAAAGTTTTAAAATATAATGTATGTAGATATTAGATCTAATTGCAATTTTAAGAGGTTTTATTTCTTATTTTAACACTTTAACAGACTATCATTCCATCTTTTTGTTTCCCCAGAAACATACTCAAATTTACAGACTTATACAACTTGGGGAGATGTACAGACAAAATGTTCCTATTTTATCTCCACCTGTCAGACCAGCTGTTTATTTCAAGATAATAACTTCTTCAATGTCTCCTTTCTTTCCTGGAACTATCAAGCAATTTACAATTAAAGGGAAGTTACTCCAACTTACATAAAGCAACATCATAAACAGAGTTAGAGTTCCTACTTGCAGCCAAATTATATGAATGGACTTGCAACAGAATGAATGACTGTATGATTGTATGAAATAGGACTACTCTAGAGCAAAATTTAATAGACATTAAAGCCAAAGAAAATTTTATAAATATTTTTAAAAACAAAAATACATTGTATTGTGAAGTAAAGTAAGAAATTATTTGACACATTGCAAACAACAAACACTTACAAATCATGTAAATAACCAATAAAGAAGTCAAAATATACAAAAAATAGCCCATACTCTGTTAGTCACACAGTAAAAATTATGGAAATAAATACTGCAAATTCACCCATTGATGGTACATAACATGTAAATGATATCTTGAATTCTTTTCTTAAATCTGAATTGATTTTTCTGACGTTTGACTTGAAATATTTTGGCTCATCTGGATGCATGCAGCTTTAATTATAAAAAATTACAAAGGACAATTACTCAAAAATAAAGCAATATCGAGTTATTGTTCTTGTTCACTGAACTTCACCTTCAAACATATGACAAAAAATATAATCTGAGATGTTCTCAATAAATTTATATTTCAAAATTTACATATAGTAATTTTGACAGAATCATTAATATTCATTTAACAAAAAATAATGATACTATTAAAGGTCAATTATGCCTCAGAAATGCTTTAATATTCATTTCTGAAAAGCTTTTTAATTTCAGTGTACTTTTAAAGTATCTAAAAATTATGCATTAGCCAATTACCTAAACTATCTTTTCATCCTTTGTTTTGGCAATAAGAAGAGTTAATAAGTATTTCTGGGGCATAATATGCCTTTTATTTTCATTTCATAATTAAACCTAGCTATTGACAGAGAATGTAATTGACCAAGCATGTAGTTGACCAAGAATGTAGTTGACCAAGCATGTAGTTGACAAAGAATGAAGTTGACCAAGCATGTAGTTGACCAAGCATGTAGTTGACCAAGCATGTAGTTGACAAAGCATGTAGTTGACAAAGCATGTGGTTGACCAAGCATGTATGCAGTTGACAAAACATTTGGCTGACTAAGCATGGGGTTGACTAAGCATGTAGTTGACCAAGCATGTAGTTGACAAAACATGTAGTTGACAAAACATGTGGTTGACCAAGCATGTAGTTGACAAAGCATGAAGTTGACAAAACATGAGGTGGACCAAGCATGTAGTTGACCAAGCATGTAGTCGACCAAGCATGCAGTTGACAAAGCATGTAGTTGACCAAGCATGTAGTTGACAAAACATGTGGTTGACCAAGCATGTGGTTGACCAAGCATGTAGTTGACAAAAAATGTAGTTGACCAAGCATGTGGCTGACCAAGCATATAGTTGACCAAGCATGTAGTTGACCAAGCATGTAGTTGACCAAGCATGAAACTAACCAAGCATGTAGTTGACCTAGCATGAAGCTAACCAAGCATGTAGTTGACCAATAAGTAGTTGACAAAGCATGAAGTTGGCAAAGCATGAAGCTGACCAAGCATATAGTTGACCAAGCATGAAGCTGACCAAGCATGTAGTTGACCAAGTATGAAGCTGACCAAGCATATAGTTGACCAAGCATGAAGCTGACCAAGCATGTAGTTGACCAAGTATGAAGCTGACCAAGCATATAGTTGACCAAGTATGAAGCTGACCAAGCATATAGTTGACCAAGCATGTAGTTGACCAAGCATGTAGTTGACCAAGCATGAAACTAACCAAGCATGTAGTTGACCTAGCATGAAGCTAACCAAGCATGTAGTTGACCAATAAGTAGTTGACAAAGCATGAAGTTGGCAAAGCATGAAGCTGACCAAGCATATAGTTGACCAAGCATGAAGCTGACCAAGCATGTAGTTGACCAAGTATGAAGCTGACCAAGCATATAGTTGACCAAGCATGAAGCTGACCAAGCATGTAGTTGACCAAGTATGAAGCTGACCAAGCATATAGTTGACCAAGTATGAAGCTGACCAAGCATATAGTTGACCAAGCATGAAGCTGACCAAGCATATAGTTGACCAAGTATGAAGCTGACCAAGCATATAGTTGACCAAGTATGAAGCTGACCAAGCATATAGTTGACCAAGTATGAAGCTGACCAAGCATATAGTTGACCAAGCATGAAGCTGACCAAGCATGTAGTTGACCAAGTATGAAGCTGACCAAGCATATAGTTGACCAAGCATGAAGCTGACCAAGCATATAGTTGACCAAGCATGAAGCTGACCAAGCATATAGTTGACCAAGTATGAAGCTGACCAAGCATGTAGGTGACCAAGTATGAAGCTGACCAAGCATGTAGTTGACAAAGTATGAAGCTGACCAAGCATATAGTTGACCAAGTATGAAGCTGACCAAGCATATAGTTGACCAAGTATGAAGCTGACCAAGCATATAGTTGACCAAGCATGAAGCTGACCAAGCATGTAGGTGACCAAGTATGAAGCTGACCAAGCATATAGTTGACCAAGTATGAAGCTGACCAATCATATAGTTGACCAAGTATGAAGCTGACCAAGCATATTGTTGACCAAGTATGAAGCTGACCAAGCATGTAGTTGACCAAGTATGAAGCTGACCAAGCATATAGTTGACCAAGTATGAAGCTGACCAAGCATATAGTTGACCAAGTATGAAGCTGACCAAGCATATAGTTGACCAAGTATGAAGCTGACCAAGCATGAAGTTGACAAAGCATGAAGCTGACCAAGCATGTAGTTGACCAAGTATGAAGCTGACCAAGCATATAGTTGACCAAGCATGAAGCTGACCAAGCATGTAGTTGACCAAGTATGAAGCTGACCAAGCATGAAGTTGACAAAGCATGAAGCTGACCAAGCATGTAGTTGACCAAGCATGAAGCTGACCAAGCATATAGTTGACCAAGCATGAAGCTGACCAAGCATGTAGTTGACCAAGCATGAAGCTGACCAAGCATGTAGTTGACCAAGCATGAAGCTGACCAAGCATGAAGTTGACAAAGCATGAAGCTGTCCAAGCATGTAGTTGGCCAAACATGGGGCTGACAAAGCATTATTGTGATTGAATGGGCAAATGATTGACCAAGAATGTGGTTGACTGAACATGTTAACAGAGAAGGTGTATGCCCCAGCATCTGGTTGGCCAAGCATAAGGTTGACTCTACATAAGAACTTGACCAAATATGTCACTGACTATGCATGTAGTTGACTGTGCATGTGGCTTGCAAAGAATGAGGTTGACCAAGAAAGCGGCTGACTTAGTATGCAGTTTGCCAGATATGTGATTTGTTACTAAAAGAACACAACATTGAACAGCTATACTTACTGCATCATCATTTTCTATCACATTAGATGAAGGTCTATTGTATGGTTTATATTCAATATCCATAGCAACCAGCACATTTTCATTTCTATGGCAACCACAAACACTGACTTTCATTGACTTAAATATCCTTCTCACTCTATGTGAAAATGTTTTACTCATTTCGTTTTTTTCACCTCTGGATTGTTAG